CCCCCGGGGGGTGATTTCTCACTTTCTGTCTCTCTGTCTCTGTCTGTCTGGCGAGCACATGCGCCCTATAGCAAAAAAACCTCTCCGAAAAAAAATAAATAAATAACAGTTCAAGTCCTGGACTTGGCACCTTGAAACTCACACCAGGAGTGTTTGTGTGTGCCCAAAATCCTGAGCGGAAAATGAAGGACAGGGGATTTTGGTGTGGCCATACCCCTAGGGGGTGATTTCTCACTTTCTCTCTGTCCAGAGAGTATATATGCCCGATAACAAAGATCTCTCTGTAAAAAAAAATAATTAAAAAATTAAATGTACAGGGAACCAGCAGTTAGGGTAATGGCTATGTCGCTGGACTCCCACGTAGTCGACCACGGTTCGTGTCCCGGACCCGGTGGCTTAAAACTCACGCCAAGCGCGTGTGCGTGTGTGCCCAAGATCCCGAGAGGAGAATGGAGGAGAAGGGATTGCGGACGGTGTTTGGCATTACTGCATGGCATTGTCGGTGCAGTGGTTGGGACCAGCTCAGCAGGTGGGAAATCCGCAGGGCAGTCCATCAGGAAGGGTAGGTTGCACCTCCTGGACAGGGCTGAGGCTGCTGTCCACGTTCAGATTTCTTCATCAAGGAAGCTTCCTCTTGCTTTTAAGATTTGGGGACCAGCAGTTAGCATAATGGCTATGTTGCTGGACTCCCATGTAGTTGACTGAGGTTCGCGTCTCGGACCCGGTAGCTTAAACTCCCCCCGGGCGCATGTGCGTGCATGCCCAAGATCCCGAGAGGAGAATGGAGGAAAAGGGATTGCAATGTGGCCATCCCCCCCAGGGGGGCGATTTCTCATTTTCTATCTCTCTGTCTCTCTCTGTCTTTCTGGCGAGCACACACGCCCTATAGTAAAAACCTCTTCAAAAAAGAAGAGATTTTGGGTGTGCATGCACATGTACCTGGCATGACTTTTCAGGCCACCAGGTGTAGGACGCAAACCACGCCACCTCCTGGCCTCAAGGATAGTTTCTTAATATATTTTTTGGAGAGGTTTTTGCTATAGGGCGCATGCACTCTCTAGAAAGTGAGAAATCATCCTCCAGGGGGGATGGCCACGCCGCAATCCCTTCTCCTCCATTCTCCTCTCGGGATCTTGGGCATGCACACACACGCGCCCGGCGTGAGTTTAAGCCACCGGGTCTAGGACTCCAACTGTGGTCAACTGCATGTTAGTTCAGTGACTTAGCCATTAGGCCATCTGCTGGTCCCAATATTTATATTTTTAATGTTTGCTGTATGGTGTGTGTACTCATCAGAGACAGACAGGGTGAGAGAGCAAGAGAGATGGGGGAAAGTCAGAAAGCACCTCCCCCAAAGGGGGATGGCCATGCTGCAAGCCCTTCTCCACTCTCCTCTTGGGATTTTGGACATGCACACACATGCACTGGGCATGTTTTTTAAGCAGCCAGGTCCGGAACTCAAACCGCATAGTCGGCCATGTGGGCTCCAGCCACCTTCACCTCCACACCACCAGCTGGCCCAATAAATACTTTTACACCTTGACTACTGCAAGAACCCATAATGAAAAATGGAAACTTAGGGGCCAGTAGGTGGCGTAGTGGTGAAGGCTCTGGACTCCCACACGGCTGACCTTGGTTTGAGACCCAGACCCAGTGGCTTGAAACTCAGCACTAGGCACTTGTGCATGCATGCTTAAAATCCTGAGAAGAGAATGGAAGAGAAAGGATTGCAGTGTGGCCAGTGAGAAATCTCTCCCTGAGGGCGATTTCTCACTGTTTCTCTGTCTCTGTTCTCTGGTGAACGCACATGCCCTATAGCAAAAATATGTTGTCTCTCTAAAACATAAAAAAAGGAATCTTATATCATACACAACTTCCATAAAGAGCCCTATGTCCCCAAGTGTCACTGCCGAAGCCTATTAAACCCTGGAGATTAAGGGATAATGTTTTTTCCCACACCTTTGAGTAGTTCTTTATTTTTCCTTTTTATTTTATTTATTTATTTTTTTTTTGAGAGGTTTTTGCTATAGGGTGCGTGCGTGAGCTCGCCAGAAAGACAGAGAGACAGAGAGCAAGAAATCACCACCCAGGGGGGATGGCCACACCACAATCCCTTTTCCATTCTCCTCTCAGGATCACACACACACCCGGCATAAGTTTAAGCCACCAGGAAGTTTAAGCCACCAGGTCGGGGAATCGAACCTCGGTCGACTACATGGGAGTCCAGCGACATAGCCATTACGCTAACTGCTGGTCCCATGACGTGGAATTTCTAATAAATATTTAAATACAAAACAGATTGAATTTAGCATAGATAATCTAGGCTAATGCACAGCTAGATATGAGTAAAGTCAGAGGAAACAAATAATTTCTCTTTTGTGTTTGAAAGGATTATGTGTCATTAGAAAGTCACAGATAAGTCCTTGGAGTCTGGGGTGGGAGAATGGGCGGGTCAAGTGAGGATGGTTTGGGTGTGTCATTCTTTTTTTTTTTTTTTTTTTTTTTTTGGGTATAGGGCACGTGCGCTCCCCAGAAAGACAGAGAGAGACAGAGAGATAGAAAGAGAGAAATCACCCCCCAGGGGAGATGGCCTCGCTGCAATCCCTTCTCCTCCATTCTCCTCTCGGGATCTTGGGCACGCATGCACACATGCCCGGCGGAGTTTAAGCCACCGGGTCCAGGACTCGAACCACCGCTGGCTACATGTGAGTCCAGCGACATAGCCATTACGCCAACTGCTGGTCCCAGGTGTATCACTCTTGAGCATACTGAGGGTATGCAAAGAACAGCTTGGTGGGGACAGTGATACGTGGTCTATTCTTTTTTCTCTAACACCCAAAGCTGACTTTTCAGATGTATTCTTCCCTCGCCTTCGTTTTAATTATGCGTGTGCTCACCAGAGAGACAGAGAAAGTGAGAAATCACCCTCCAGGGGGATGGCCACACCACAATCCCTTCTTCTCCATTCTCCTCCATTCTCCTCTTCTCCTCCTCCTTCTCCTATTTTGCACACACACACACACATGCGCCCGGCGTGGGTTTAAGCTTCCAGGCCTGGGACTCAAACCATGGTCAGTCGTGTGGGAGTCCAGCGCCTTAACCACCACACCCACCTACTGTCCCCCTGAAAAGATCATTCTAAGGATGGGAAGGAACCACACACCTTCTGTAAGAAAGTGATGGGACTATGCACATTGATTAGTACACACCAGCTGGTGGTAGAAAGAACATAGACCAGGTTGGCAGGTGGTATGGCGGTTAATGGCGCTGGACTCCCACATGGCTGACCGCGGTTCGAGTCCTGGAACTGGCAGCTTGCTTTCTCACTTTCTCTCTCTCTGTCTGACCCTCTGTGGTAAAATGAAAGTGAATAAATAAATAAATAAAGTATTTAAACATAAAAAGAAAGAACCCAGACCAGGGAGTCAGAATGTCCCTATCAAGTTGATCAAGTTCCAGCCTAGCTAGTTATTGGTGGTTAGAGCTGCAGTGGAGGCGCCTATACATTGGGATGGTAAAGAGGAGACCACTACGGACTGTATCTTATTTTGAGCTGTGCAAGGCCTGACTAACAGTGAGATAATAGAGGTGAAACTCTACCATAGGAGTTTGGAAACAGCCTTTTTTTTTTTTTTTTAATTAATTTTTTTAAGAGGATTTTTTTTTGCTATTGGGCGCGTGCGTTCGCCAGATAGACAGAGAGAGACAGAGAGATAGAAAGCGAGAAATCACCCCCTAGGGGGAATGGCCATGCCAAAATCGCTTTTCCTCCATTCTCTTCTCAGGATCTTGGGCACGCACGCACACGCGCCCGGCGTGAGTTTAAGCCACCGGGTCCGGGACTCGAACCATGGCCGACTACATGGGAGTCCAGTGACATAGCCATTACACTAACTGCTGGTCCCAGGAAACAGCCTTTTACCTGCAGCCCTCACTCTGGCGTCAGTAGAGGGCCAGGCCCCTTCTTTCCCACTCCTCAGGGCTGTTTTGGAAGTAAGCTTCAACCAGGTTATATGGTCTCCTGAAAAATACTCCTTCAGTGCACAAGAGAGCCCTGCTTGGCCTAGTCACCCTGCCTAGCCTCCCAGTGTCAGAATCTTCATTTTCTTTTCTTTTCTTTTTTTTTTTTTTGAGAGAGAGAGACTTTTGCTATAGGCCTTATGCACTTGCCAGAGAGACACAGAAAGACAGAGAGACAGAAAGCGAGAAATCACCTCCCAGAGGCTGTGGCCACTCCATCCTCCTCTCAGGATTTTGGGTACACACGCACATACATCTGGCATGAGTTTTAAGCTATCAGGTCCGAGACTCAAACTGCAGTTGGCTATGTGGGAATTCAGTGACATAATCAGTACACCACCTGTTGGTCCCAGAACCTTTTTTTTTTTTTTTATCCCACATCTTCACTTGCAGATTGCTGGATCTTTCCAATGAAGGGTTTACAAACTGGGAGTTCATGACCGTCCACTGCTGGGGAGAAAAGGCTGAAGGGGAGTGGACCTTGGAAGTCCAAGACATTCCATCCCAAGTCCGCAACCCAGAAAAACAAGGTCAGTGACTTGGGGATTTCATAACTTTCTGTTTTTCCACTCTCTTTTTTTACTCTGGGCCTCTCTGCTAAGTCTTCGTTTTGTTTGGTGGAGGTAAAACTTACATAACCTGAAATTCACCATTTTTATCATTGTAAAATATACAGTTCAGTGGTGTTTAGTACATCCACAGTGGTATCCACCTCTACTTTGTATCTATGTGGATTTCTCTCTGCTAGACCTTTTATATAAATGCACTCATATAATGTGGTCTTTTGAGTCCGGCTTCTTTCACTTAGCATGATTTTTTTTTCTTTTTTTTTTGGAGAGGTTTTTTGCTATAGGGCGCATGCGCTCGCCAGACAGACAGAGAGAGACAGAGAGATAGAAAGTGAGAAATCACCCCCTAGGGGGGATGGCCACGCCACAATCCCTTCTCCTCCATTCACCTCTCGGGATCTTGGGCATGCACGCACACACGCCCGGCGTGAGTTTAAGCCACCGGGTCCGGGACGCGAACCGCAGTCGACTACGTGGGAGTCCAGCGACATAGCCATATGCTAACTGCTGGTCCCACTTAGCATGATATTTTCAAAATCCATCCATGTTTTTAGAGTGTATCAGAATGTCATTTCTTTTATGGCTGAAAAATATTCCATTGTATGGACATACCACAATTGGTTTATCCATTTGTCTATCAATGGATGTTTGGATTGTTTCTGCCTTTTAACTGTTGTAGACAATGTTGCTCTGGACATTTGTGTTCAAGTGTTTGTGTGGACATATGTTTTCACTTTTCTTTGCTATGTATCTAGGATTAGAATTGGTAGATCATATGGTAACTCTGTTTAGCTTTTTGATGGAACAGCTAGTTTTCCACATTGGCTGCACAATCTTATACTTCTACCTGTAGTATATGAGGGATCCAGTTTCCTCACATCTTCACTAACACTTATTTTCCCTTCGCTTGTTTTCTATTTTAACTATTCTAATGAGTATAAAGCAGTATCTAATTTTGATGTGATTCTACCTGATGACTAATGAGGTTGAGCATCTTTTCATGTGCTTGTTCCTCATTTGTATATCTTCTTTGGTGAGATATTTATTCAAGACTCTTGGCCATTTTAAAAATTGGGTCATTTGTCCCTTTTGTTGTTGAATTATAAGAGTACTTATCAGATATATCATTTGCAAATATTTTCTATCATTCTGTGGGTTGCCTTTTAACTTTCATGGTGGTGGCCTTTGATGCACCAAAGATTTTCACTTTGGTTTAATCTATGTTTTCTATTGTTGCTTTTGGTGTTATATTTAAGAAACCATTGATCACACAGATTTACTCCCATATGCTATTCAGTTGTCCTAGCATCATTTGTTGAAAAGACTACACTTTTCACATTGGGTGATCTTAGCATCTCTGTTGAAAATCAGGGGCCCGCAAGTGGCACAGTGGCTAAGACTCTGGACTCCCATGCGGTCGATGGTCAACTGTGGTTCAAGTCCTCAACCTGGTGGCTTATTCTCTCTTTCTCTCTTTCCAACTCTCTCTCCCTGTCCCTCTCTGGTCAAAACTGAAAAATAAAGAATAAAGAAATAATTCTTTAAAAAAAAAAAAAGAAAGAAAAGAAAATCAGGAGTTTATTTCTGAACTCTCAGTTCTATTCGGTTGGTCTATGTCTATTCTTATACCAATACTACACTGTTTTGATTACTGTAACTTTGTAGGAAATTTTAAAATCAGAACATGGCCTCCTAAATAGGGTTTTATAATAAATAAATAACCAAGATTCAAAACAAGATGCAGGAGCCAGCAGGTGGCATGGTGATTAAGGCACTGGGTTCCTACATGGCTGACCACAGCTCAAGTCCCAGCCCTGGCAGCTTGCTTTCTCACTTTCCCTGTCTTTCTCTCTGTCTCTCTCTGGTGAGCCCATATGCCCTATAACAAAAATAATGCTGATAATAAATAAAATAAAATAAATGACTCCTTTTTTTTTTTCTCTTAGAGCACATGCGCTCACCAGAGAGAGAAAGAGAGACAGAGAGAAGGAAAGTGAAAAATCACGCCCAGGAAGGAATGGCCATTCTGTAATCCCTTTCTCCTCCACTTTCCTCCCAGGATCTTGGGCATAGGCGCACACATGCCTGGTGAGACTTTCAAGCCTCCAGGTCCAAGACTTGAACTGCTGTTGTACGTGTGGAGTCCAGTGACATAACCACTACATCATCTGAGAGGTTTTTGCTATAGGGCATTGTGCTCGCCAGAAAGACAGAGAGAGACAGAGAGACAGAAAGTGAGAAATCACCCCCCAGGGGGGATGGCCACGCCGCAATCCCTTCTCCTCCATTCTCCTCTCGGGATCTTGGGCACGCACGCACACGCGCCCGGCGTGAGTTCAAGCCACCGGGTCTGGGACTCGAGCCACAGTTGGCCACATGGGAGTCCATCACTTTAACCACCATGTCTCTTGCTGGCCCCCATCCCTTTAGGCTTTGTGGTGCCCACAGATCACCTGCCAGCACAGCCAGCCACCTGGGCGGGACTTCCCGGAGCTGGCCTTGTGCACCAGGCAGGGAGCTGCGTGGACCACAGAGGGCTGCCCGGGGAGGCCGAGGGGCCTCTGCACCCGCCCAGACGGCGAACCAGTGGGCTGTCAGGCCAATGTGTGGTCTCAGTGCTCACCCAACCTGCTCTTCTCCCCTCACGGGCAGATCTGGGACCTTCCTCCAGTGCAGAGCAGCGGTGGGAACTGCCTGGCTTGGCTGACCTGAGGAAAGGGCCAGCGCACAGTGGGGGCTTCTTGTACCCACAGAGGTGTCCGGCATAGTCAGGTAGGCTACGGAAGAGCAGGACCAAGAGGTGGCGTGGTCATTGAGGTGGCTGGATCCTGCATGGCTAACTACGCGGTTCAAGTCCTGGACCTGGCGGCTTGAAACATATAGGCTAAGGCCAGCAGGTGGCACAGTGGTAGAGGTTCTGGATTTCCACCTGGCTGTCCGCGGTTCAAACCCTAGACACAGTGGCTTGAAAATCACACTGGGCACATGTGTGTGGCTCTCCTTCCTGGGACGAGTGATTTCTCACTTTCCCTGTCACTGTCTGTCTCTCTCCAGCGAGTGCACGTGCCTTGTGATAAACACTTTTAAAAAATTCTGGAGACCAGCAGGTGGCGCTGTAGTTAAGGCACTGGACCCTCCCAACCATGGTTCGAGCCCTGGACCTGGTGGCTTGCTTTCTCACTTTCCCTCTCTCTCTCTCTGTCTCTCTCTCTCTCTGTCTGTCTGTCTCTCTCTGGTCAAATTAAAATGAATGAATGAATAAATCAAATTAAATAAATAATTCTTTTTAAAAAAATTCTGCAGCTTAATCGCAGTATAAAAAGGAGGACGAGGATGAGAAGGAAGAAAGAAGAAAGAAAAAAGGAGCTCATTTCCAGTGATGGGCTGTGTCCAAGTGTTTTTAAATCTCACATAAGGGGGACTAGCAGTTGGCATATGGTTATGTCATTGGACTTCCATGTAGTCGATCGCAGTTCGAGTCCCGGACCCGGTGGCTTAAACTCAGGCCAGGCATGTGTGCGTGCGTGCCTAGGATCCCGAAAGGAGAATGGAGGAGAAGGGATTGCAGCGTGGCCATCCCCCCAGGGGGGTGATTTCTCACTCTCTGTCTCTCTGTCTTTCTGGTGAGTGCACACGCCCTATAGCAAAAACCTCTCCCCCCACAAAAAAATAAATACTCACATAAGACCTGGAGGTTATTAAGTAATTAAGTGATCCGAATGCTACATGCTATGTGAGCTGCAATCTTGTTTCGCCTCCTGGCAAATAGAGCTTGGTTTATGTAATTAGTTTTAACTCATGTTTTGATGCAGAGTAACAGATTAGTCATGCATTTTCCTTTTCATTTCCTAGACCAAAGAAAGGGTGTGTCTTTTCTCAGAATCGCTGTCCTCCGGGAGATCACTTAGGAATGGAGCCCGAGCCAGGCTGCATGCCCCAGTCCTAGCCAGGCTGCATGCCCGGGTAGCTTTTTGTTGATTTTGCATCCGGCACTCCCTCTGCAAACTCTGCGCAGTGCCGGATCTGGGGACACGAGTTCTTGATCCCTCCATTCTCACACACGCAGGTGTGGGACAGGGACATTTTCCACTGAGGTGAGCCCAGCCTGAGGCCCCAGAGTCGGGGAGCTGACCCTGGCACAGCCAAAATAAGGCAAGGGTCTTGTCCTGAACACACACGTGTTCTTTCAGAGAAGTTTGGCCCTTTGTTGCAGAATACTGAAAAAATTATTATTATTTTTTTTTTTAGTTTTTGCTATAGACAGAAGGAAAGTGAGGGGCTGACAGGTGGTGTGGTGTTTAAAAGGCGCTGGATTTCCACATGGCCGACCAGGGTTCGAGTCCTGGACCTGGCCGCGTTCTTTCTTTCTTTCCCTTTCTCTCTCTCTCTGGTCCAACTTAAAAAATAATAATAAGAGATAGAATTAAATACATAAGGAAGGAAAAGTGAGAAAGCACTTGGCGTCATGGCTATGTCGCTGGACTCCCACGTAGTCGACCGCTGTTCAAGTCCCGGACTCTGTGGCTTAAACTCACGCCAGGTGTGTGTGCGTGTGTGCCTAAGATCCTGAGAGGAGAATGGAGGAGAAGGGATTGCGGCGTGCCATCCCCCTTGGGGGGTGATTTCTCTCTTTCTGTCTCTATGTCTCTGTCTTTCTGAAGAGCAAAAACTTTCTCCTTAAGAAAATAAAATAAAAA